CGAAGACCTCTCTGCCTAAAGGAAATCTCCTATGATGCCGTATTATTTCAGCCTATTAACCTGAACAGTTGTTGTAATTAGGAAGTTGAGTACAAAACTATTGTCAGTCAGAAAATTTTTTTTAGGAAGTGATGGGCATGTCTCATCTGGCTGAATAGCAGATTACAAACACATTTACCAGACAAACTGGTGGCCTTATTAATTTTATTTAAGCCATAAAATGTTAAGAAATTTCTAAGCTGATTTTTAAAAGAGAAAAGGATGTCAAGGTTCTGCTATAAATATAATCACACTTCAGCATAAATATTTAAACTCATAAAGCAGAAAAGGCAGTTTATGAGAGATTCCTGGCCAGAGATCACGTCATAAATTTTGAAAATGCTGACATGCAACTTAAAAACTAGAAGAGCAGCAACGTTATTTCCTTATCTTAATTAAAAAAAACAAGTTTTCTTCATCTTTTAAGGGCTTCTGTGCCTATATAAAGCAGAAAAAGAAGTAATTTTATTTCTTGCCAAAGTGAATATGAGGCTACTGCTAAAGGACTAATTTCTCTCAGGTACACTGCTCTAACTAGCTTTGAGTATAACTTCTGCAATTAATCATCAGCTTGGCCAAGATCCAATAGGCATAGCTAATTCATTAAAACAGTGTTCCTCAACCTTGGCAGGTTTAAGCTGTGTGGACTTCAACTCCCAGAATTCCTCAGCCAGCCAACTCACTGGGAAATTCTGGGAGTTGGTCCACATAGCTTAAATTTGCCAAGGTTGCGGGTGTATTTGCCAAGGTCAGGGTGTATACAATCAGGCAACTATTCTAACAATAATAGTAAATTAACATATAACATCTTTATAAGCAGAACTAGAATTTACAAGCAATTGAATGTGCTCGGGTAGAAAATTGGTTTTGCTTATGCCCAAGACTACAGCATAAAATTTAGGCTGCCTTTTCTTCAGTAATGGCATTTAATACATTGGATGAGAAAACCTTCTACATTGATTCTGATATCGCAAACTTCAGCATTGCTTGCATACCCTAAGACACATGATCTGGGCCCGTGATGGCAAACCTATGGCATGCGTGCCAGAGGGGCACACAGAGCCCTCTCTGCTGGCATGCACGCCGTCGCCCCAAATCAGATCTCCGTGGCGTTTCTTTTGTGAGCTTCTGTTTCCCTGCAAATGACGAAACAGAAGCTCACGAAAGAAAAAGATCTTACCTCTTGCCATGTTGCCAGTGTTGGGATGCCCCGCCTCCCGCAGGCCAGCTGGACTTCGGGTCTCTACTGTGCATGCGCGCATGTCTGTGCATGCACACATGTTCAGGCATGCACACATTCGCGCATGTACCTTTCAGTTTGGGCATATGCGCGCACGGTTTGGGCACTTAGTATCTAAAAAGTTCACCGACACTAATCTAGGCCAGGGGTGTCAAACTCGATCACATTGCGGGCCATATTAGAATTTTGTTTGCCCTTGGGGGGGGGGGGGGGGGGGGGGGGGTGGCCTGGTTGTCGCAGCTGAATGGGTAGGCTGGGGCTGTGGTGGCACAGGCTGGTCCCTCACCATCTCTGGGACAGCCCCGCAGGACAACTCTTGGCCTATCGCTGGCCGGATGCGGCCTGTGGCTGCGTGTTTCACGCATCTAATCATCTCCTTTTTACTGTTTCTTTTGAGATGGTCCTTCTGAGGAATTGGGACTTATCTTAGATGTGAGTCAAGGGATTACAATAGACTTAATAAAGTTGGATGCATTGTCTCCTGGAAATACTGTAGAAACCCAAAACACCAACTGTCCTTCATATAAATCCCCCTGCCTGCTCTCTACCTGGTGCTATGGTGGTACTGGGACACCTTCTAATGCAGTGATATTATCTTCCAATGAAATGATGCCTATCCATATACACAGAGAGATGTATTTTTAAGACTTACTATTATTAGGACCACGGCTGCGCATGGTTGGGACACTGATGATCAGCAAGTCCACATTTGAGACCCAAATGCAGCTGTGTGGCAGGGTGAGCTTCTGTCATTTGCTCCAACTCCTGCCGGTCTAGTAGTTCGAAAGCGAGTAATCAGAAGTAGGTAGATAGGTACCACTTCAGTGGGCACATTAATAGGGACATGAAACCAGGCGTTCTCGGACAACAGCAATGTCACTGGTTAATTCTTTCAACCTGGAAGTGCCTTGGTGCTTCCGACATGAACACCAAAAAACCATTTTATGTAGCCTTAAACTGCTTTTTGCTTTCTCTGGAAGAACATCCCTTCAAGCACGATAATATGATTACTAATGAACTGTCCACTAAAACAATGAATTAAATATAGATGTAGAATGCCTCATAAACCCTCATCTTTTCTTCTCAGAGATATGTGTTACAAACTCAAATTGTATCAGCCGCCCCGTTTTACGAACAGTACACTCTTGATTGTCAAGCAGTTGTATTTGTGTATTTCTCTTTTTCTTCCCATTCAAAATTTTCACTAGTTTTTTTTTTTTTTTTTGGACAGAGATACTTGGTGCAGTATGCGTGAGAAATGGTTCGCAATGCCAACACAGCATTGTATTTGCACTGTATGCGCTCTCAATACTTGGCAGTTCAATGCATGATAACACTACAGTAAATAAAGATCTTGGAATGATGTATATAATGTATATGTGATAGCTCATTCCTTCATATTAATGCCTATGTTAGGAACCAATCTTATTTATCTAATCTTTTCAGCAGGCTAAGAGGATCAAAGTTATTGCTATGGTTGTGTTCACACAACATACACAAACGTGGCTATTTTAATTACAATTTAGGAAATGAATCCAATTTTCTGGATCTCCCCAGCCCATGAAGCTTTAAAAGAACTAGGGGGTTTGGGATAAAAGTGTCCCCACAGGTTTTACCTTGCTAGTCATGACTGACTTTAGGGGGCAGTCCTCATCTCTATTCCTTAAGTCAAAGAAGACTAGGGGTAAGGGTTCCTGGAAGATGTTTCTGTGGTCATGTGGCTGGCATGACATCACGCTACAGCAAAAAGTATGTGGCGAAACATGGAACGCTGTTACTTTCCCGCATGCTTACAGGCATACAGTACCTGTTCATCTACTTGCATTTGCATGCTTTTGAACTGCTAGGTAGGTAGTTTTGGGGTGGCAGGCACATGCCGTAAATGTCCCTGGGACTAGCCTGCCCTACCTGCACCAGAAGAAGAGGCTTGCTATGGACCCTGCCTGCTAAGGAATTCTGGTCAATGGGCCAAGCAGAAGAGCCTTTTCCATTGTGGCCTCGTCCCTGTGAAACACTCTACCGGAGTTGAAAACTGTTCCCATCCTTTTGGCCTTTTGGCAGGGTATTAACATTTGGTTTTGCCAGCTGGCTTAGGGTCCTGAGACTGGTGCTCACCACTGGATGTGATTGACGGGGTAAGAAGACCTCATACCTGTATCATCTGTCTCTTGGTTCCTGACTTTTTGCATAGTTTAAAAATTTTAGCTGCTTTTCTATTTATCTTTTTACGTATCCGTAAGTCACCTAGAATCCCAGAGGAGATGGGTGGCATATAAATAATAAAATAAAATAGCTGTAGATTTATGGGGGTTTGCCCATTCACAAAAGGGCTGCCACAGGAACGCTGATGTTATTACAAAACATCAATATTTTCAGAAAGCAACCTTTTATATACAGTGATTTACTTATCTCTGCCTTTTTCCAGGGTAACAAAGCCTATTTTTTTTCACACAAAGAGCTGGGCTGAAGCCCAATCACTAGATTATATCAGTAAGGGATTATTACCCAGACAGCTAACTGACTAAATGCTCTGTTGAACTGGATAGTCCTTTGAACGGATGCAGCGTAGCTCTTCCTATATTCTTATGATAATAGAATCTTCTGTATATCATTTAATTAAAATCAGTGTTCCACAGAGAATGTAAAAGACTTGGAAAGCACTTTTCCCTGCTAACTCGTAGTGCGGCAGGTAACATTCTATCTTGTCTCTAGCCACCTATCTCAATGTAATCCATAGGGGTTGAAGCTCATTTTTAATAGTAATTTTTATTAAAAATTACAATTAAAATGATAAAAACTAATATAAAGTAAAACAATAAAAAGAAAAAAGTTCAGGAGAGAAAAGTAGCACAAAAAGTAGAAAAGAAATGAGAATATACTAAGGACTATTAAAGGATTGACTTCTGTTTTCATCACATATAAACAATTTTAGTAATTTATATCTTTCTCTTAAAATACAACCAGTTATCTCTTCTTTCCATATCCTTGTCATTTAGTCCTAATCAGCAGAGTTCCATTGAGAGTTATCAGAGATAGCAACATACCTATTTTTTTTCCTTTCATTAATTTATTTTTGTAAAAAAAAAGAATTTAGGTCCTGAAACTTTTATTTAAACATTCTTTTGCTAAGTATTAAAGGTAATTCATCAGATATTTTGCTAAGGAATGAAGGAAACTGACCAAGTGCTGTAAAACATGTGGAGCCAAAGGTTCACCTCTAAAGCAGTCTGAAAATGATTAGAAAAAGTATGCAAACACAGTATCCTTTTGACACTGCCCTAAATTTTCAGCAAAGATGTCTATTCCCTCATCTCCCAGAGCTACCAACCTGCTGTGGACTGCTTATCTTGCAGTCTCTTCGAGAAGAGCAACTGAATGGAGCACTTGTGGGCAATCTCAAGTCCTCTCCTTGTCCGGAGAGACATTATAAAGACTTCGTATACTCGCCGACTCTTTCATCCTGCGGCAGTCACTAGCTCCACATCTGTCTGCCATTTCTTCACTGGGAAGGGTTTGAAATTTCAGAGCAATTTTCCTCTGCTGTTGCTATCTGAAGTCCCTGAACTAGAGATAAAAACACTTTGCAGGGATAAAACCTGCACCCTGCAAAATACCGAATTATGCCTCTTCTGATACTTGTACTGCTAGTTCCTATCAGATTAAATGGCTCTGAAATTAGTTCTAAATGCATAAACACACAATAAAATAGATAAGCAAAGACTGAAAACATGCTCACTGTTTTATTCGTAATAGCATTTTTATTCCTTGTCCTAAATTCGCTAGTTGCTGCCTGTTGGGCTAACCATAACCAGGCATTGCTTACTACGCAAGTTAGCCTATTATGTGTCAGTCATTCAAGTTCGTGGAGCAAGTTGACAGGTTGCAAATATAACTTCAAGGAATTATTACGGCTGTACAACATTCAGATTCCAGTCCAAATGCTTTGGAGAATCTGGGGCTGCAAACATAGCATCTGTTTGCAAAAGATAAAACAGCTGCATGTTTTCCCAGGGCTGTGTGGTAACTGCTGATGCATTTGATTATAATGCTCTTAGTTACAGGTACAATTTCATTTTATGTGTGCTAGCAATGTTTATAAACTTATTTGCAAGCCTCTTCTTGTAAAGTGTTTTCAGGCTGAATTTCTAATTAAGTTCTAAGCACCTCTATCATTTGATGTTTCTCAGACTAGTTATCTACTTAAACAAGTCTTCCGATAATATGGAATGAAACAAAATAGGAAACCTATTCCAGCTGAAATCAAGATTTAACAATACTTAGAAAAGACACATTGAGCATTCCCACTGATTGCAGTAGTCCTATTTTAACTAACTCCAGATTTCACCTCAAATATCTCAAAATACCCCATTTGGCAAAAAGTTTGATAAAATTACAATGGTTTTAGATCAGGGGTGTCAAACTGGTGGCCCGTGGGCAGGCGTGAAATCCTCCCGGTTTGGACTGGATTGGGTGATCTGGTAGCGATTGTGGTAGGTGGTTTGGAGAACCAGTAGCGATGGCAGCGCGAGGCTCCGCCCACCCGCCTGAGTGTCATTACTTCCTTGTTTTAACCAGGAAGTAATGTGCCAGGAAGGTTTTGCGCATGCACAGAGGGTCTGCACGCGCATGTGACTTCTGAACCGGTAAGGAAGGTTAAGTAGATTTCACCCGTGTCCGCAGGCCATATGCGTCACGTGCCCAGCTCTGTGAAGGGAAAAAAAAATTGCGATATGTTGCGTGACAGCAATGTGACGCCGCGAGTTTGACACCTGTGTTTTAGCTGAACCTAAAAAAGAATATCCAGACACAAGCAACTGTGACCAAATCAAACTCTCAGCTGGATACATTGCAATCTAAATTGCTGTTGGCAGATTTAAAGGAGAAAGAACTTGGTTTGGAAACCGCAGGTTTGCTGGAGAAGGCTGAAGGGGATATGGGTTCTACAGATTTGGAGTTAACAGAATTAGTGAGTGATGAACTGGACTTTTTTGAGCAGACTGATGGTGATTGGGGGTTATAGGACATGTCAAATTTTTCAGCTTTCAATTTCCAAACATTAGGAGTGCTCAAAAGTTGTGACATGCCTTGGGGGTTGTAACGATATTTTGGTTACGTTAATATGTATTAGATGTGCTTCGTAAGTAACTACATAAACTATAACTTTTTAACATTTTGTTTGTTTGGGGAATAAATTTACTATATCTACCTGGAAAACAATTTGGACTGGACATTTTGGAGAAAATGGATCGACAACTGAGGTTTATGATTTTGGGGAATAAGACACAATTGTTTAGGAAGGTTCTCAACCAAAATCTTAAGGAAATGTTTTCCTATTAAGAATCAAACAAAGGTATTTGATCTTCACTGAAAAAAGTGAATTATGAGTTTTCACACTTACAACCGTCGCAGCATCCCCATGGTCACATGATCAAAATCCGGATGCTTGGTGACTGAGTCATATTTAAGACGGTTGCAGTCTCCCACTGCTCCAGGGTCATGTGATCACCTTTTGTGACCTTCTGACAAGCAAAGTCAATGGGGAAGCCAGATTAACAACCATGTTAGTAATTTAACAACTGCAGTGATTCACTTAACAACTGCTGCAAAAAAGGTCATAAAATGGATCCAAGCTACTTAGCAACAGAAATTCTAGGCTCAATTGTGGTCGTAAGTAAGGACTACCTGTAGAGGTAAAGGTTTATAAATTCTGGGCCTGCTTTGCAAGGGGGAAAACTAATATATTGTTCCAATATATTTATCAGTATTCAACTAGAGGGGGACAATATATGTGTTTGTTTTTGTCTTTATCAATGCACATTCTTTCCCTTTTATTGTTTTGCCTATCTTTGTTTTGTTTTAGTAAAATTTCTTTCCCTTTTTTCTCTTTCTCTGTTTGTGTTTTATCTTAATTTTCTTAAATAAAAATTTACTTTAAAAAAATGCTCCTACTGCTATATAAGGAGCCCGCAGTATTTTTCAGACACCTTGGAGTTCCTTATAACACCAGAAGAATAAGAAACAGGAATCAATTTTTGCTTCTACTGCAGTGATAAGATGTATGGTTGCTATGGATTCATTAGGCTTCTGAACTGAATGGAGGCCGAGTGGTTGCAATGCTCAAAACTGACTGCTTTTCTTGAGTAAGTTACATTATTGTAATGCATGTTAGAGGTGGGCAAAGGCCATTTACAACATTATTGCAGCATTATAAAACTGGAGAACGGCTGAGCATTTTAGGAAAGTTACAACAGTACAGGGAGATACTTAAGTGGCTGGGCTTAGTTTTGCAAATCTTTTCTCTTGCAAAGGAAAAAAAAAACCATCTATCCGTGAAGAGTTTTTAAGCACACAACATTTGTATTATTACCTTTGGGGCATTTCTCTAATCTACAGTTGAGAAGACACACCAGGATAGGAAGAGACTGAAGGAATAAGAAGGATCAGCAAGCCTTCCGATGTGAGTAATGCTTTGATTTTGATCTGGAAGACCAGATTTTCAATTCTTTTGCATTTCTCAGTATAATTAAACACTCTTGATTATCCAGATCTCTGCCTTTCAACTGACATTCCTTGTGAAAAGATGTGTACTTTCAGCATGTGTCAGATGGTAACAACTTCAACTGCGAGGAAATGCTACAGCATTGTTAAAAGAACAATATTCTTTAACGAGAAACACATCCATAGGATATGTGTTATAATATGAAATTAGGTGCCTTTCAGAGGTGGTATTCAGCCGGTTTGCTCAAACCGGTAGCGGAAATTGCCCTGGTCCTATGCCATCCTATTTAGGCACGTTTTTGAGGCCAGGCACATGCACGGAAGGCTGAGTGTATGTGTGGACGGGGCACTTGTGAGTGAAGCGCGCACGCATGCACCAGTAGTGGGTTTCAAATATTTTTACTACCGGTTCTGTAGGTGTGGGTTGGTGGGTGTGGCATGGCTTGGTGGGTGTGGCTTGGTGGGCATGGCAGGGGAAGGATACTGTAAAATCTCCATTCTCACCTCACTCCAGAGGAAGGATATTATAAAATCTCTATTTCCACCCCACTCCAGGAGAAGGTTACTGCAAAATCCCCATTTCCTCCCGATCAGCTGGGACTTGGGAGGCAGGGAATAGATGGGGGCGGGGCCAGTCAGAATTTTTACTACCGGTTCTCCAAACTACTCAAAATTTCCGCTACCAGTTCTCCAGAACTGGTCAGAATCTGCTGAAACCCACTTCTGGTATGCACTCATTTGCAAACCGGTAGGGAAAGTAAGTGAGTATTACCCCCGGTGCCTTTGCAATAGGAAAGATCGTTCAGACATTGTACGGAGGGTTCATTTGTTCAAAGAATCCAATTGTAAACCATACTTTAGGGGAAGGAGTGGCAAATGCCTCTCAGTGATCCTGCTGAGCATAAATAGTGTAGGGCAGAAAACCTGCAGCATAGTAAGAATGGCACCCTAGCTGGGTGCCATTTATTGGCACCCAGCTAGGGTGCCAATAAATATTGCTAGAGGTTGTCATTTGTTTAGTTTCGTTTGTAAAAAGAGTAGCTAATCCCCTTTTTTAGAATTTCATACTGGATTAATAAATACTTGAAGAGGTAAACTGTAGTTTAGTGGATTGGATCCATAATTAGGAATATAATGAAATTTTACTGAAAATTACAGTCGACCATTTAAGATAGTTACTGTTAGAAACTGATCTATAATCCCTTTCTACTTTGTTCGTTATATTGGCTATACAAGTACAGAATAATAAGCCGCTTTTGATTTCTGGCTGGTTTAAGGGTTGGTTTTGCAGGAAAGTGTGAATAAAGCAACTGTTTGTCCCACTGACACATAGCTTGTTCCCAATAACCCAGATTGCTGGTTTATATACAAGGTCTGTGCAAACATGGCTTTGAAAGAAATCAAAGCAGCATATCTCTCATTTATATCCCCTTTCTGACTTGAAAACTGCTTATCCTTCAGCATTTTGGAAATGTTACTTTGTGAGGAGATTAAAGGACCAAGAAGACTAGGAGCCTTGGTAGTACAGTGGTCTAAAGCATCCTGTTATTAAGACCAGCTGCCTGCAATTACTGCAGGTTCGAATCTCGCCAGGCTCAAGGTTGACTCAGCCTTCCATCCTTTCTAAGGTAGGTAAATTGAGGACCCAGTTGTGGGGGCAATAAGCTGACTTTGTATAAATATACAAAAGGATGAAGGCTATTGCTTAGCACATTGTAAGCCGCCCTGAGTCTCCGGAGAAGGGCGGCATATAAATCAAATTAAAAAAAATAAAAAGACTTGATTAACTTCATAATATGAAGGCAAGGCAGATGACAACTCTACCTTGAATCTGCAGGCTACTGTCTAATTTTAATACTGATTAAAATTTGTCTCTATTGATTCAAAATTGCCCCCCTGACTCACCATCTAAAGCGATAGGGGATTAATCTGCAGATTAGATCTGGCAGTCTTTCTTCTACAGCCCGAGAAAGCAAAACTCTCCTATCCTGAAGCTTCCTTGAACTAAGCAAAAAATTAAATATATAAATAAAGATGCTTTGTGCTTTTTAAATCAAGACTGCCCTCTGTTGATAGAGAACTTAAAAGCAATATGTGTGTGTGTGTGTTTGCATGTGTGTACACAACTATGAAGTGCATCTAAGAAAACAAAGAAAACAGCTCTATTTTTAAACACTTCTTTTTAGAAGCAAACTATATAGAGACATCACACAATTGCATATTGTTTTTAAAAAGCTGTTTTACCTCTTCATAATAGCGGAGATTATTTTCTGCCATGTTGCCAAACGCTGATTTCATATCGAGACGCAGGCTGTGCTTCCATCTATCCCAATCCGCTTGCAGAGCATTATTGGCGCATTCTAATTTATCTTCAAGTTTTCCAATCTCTTCAGGCAACTAAAAACAAAACACATTAGACTAAAGTTAAGAAGCTTGGCGAAAATATCAACATCAGGAATGGAACATTAATAGCATCATAACAAGGATCTTGCTCCGTTCCAAAAATGAAGTCGAGTCTCCTTTTCTCCAACCTATTTTCTTCTAGGAAACTATGGGGTTCCTTAGAAGTTTATCAATGATCTGTCACTAAGCAGATCAGTAATGCTTGACGAGATTTCCTGAGACTGCTTACCTACTGCTATTGACTACCTATTGTTTGCAGCTGCAGTGGAGTGTTATTTCTCTTGTAGAGGCACTCTTAGTTCATAAAGGGCAACAGCGAGTCCCTGTAGAGTGTGTTTGTTTGTTTCCTGGCAGGGCTCCTGGCTTTTAACAGCAACAGGACTGTCAAAAATCGAGCAGGTTAGCTTTTCCCCAGTATGGAGGTAGAAGCCTCTTTTAGAATCTCATACTTCCCAACTGCCTACTGTACCTGGACTTGTACAATGCAATTTATTGTTCCTTTGGATCTACCCCTCAAAGCATCTTTGAAGACCTGGCCTGGATGAGGTCTTCAAGGTCTGAAATTTTCTGGCCATGATCAGGACTAGAGGAGCTTGAAAGAGCTGCACGACCAAGTCCTTTGAGCACGTGTGGTTTCTTCACTGGGTTGGGAGGAATGGCTCCAGAATGAAATAAATGTAGATTTTCTGTTTAGCCTACCTAGATCGGTCTCTCCTTGTGATGTATCCTTTTTGTTGAATTTCAGATTACATGGTCCTTGCAGGAAGGACACTCATGCTTTGGTCATCTCTTGGTTGGATTACTGCAATGTGCTCCATATGGGGCTACCCTTGAAAAGTATTTGGAAGCTACAGCTAGCAAAGAATGCAGTGGCATGGACCGTTCTGGAGGACCCTAGGATGATGCATATAACACTGCTATTGTGTGAGCTAACATTGGTTACAAGTTTGCTTCTCGGTCCAATTATCTTTAAAGTCCTTTATGGCATGGCCCAGTGTATCTGTGGTGCTATCTTACTCCAATGGGACTCCCTTCAACAGAAGAGGCTTGCTGTGGACTACCTATGTTAAGGAATTTCAGCTGCAGGGGGTCAAGGAGAGCCTTTTCTACTGTGGCCCTGACCTGAGGAACATTCTACTATCAGAGATGGGATTTGTTCGCAATCCTGGCCTTCTGGATGGGTCTTAAAACCTGGTTTGGCCAGATGCCTTGGGGTCCCGTTAGAGGTGCTCCTTGTTCGAGATGGTTGATGGGATAAGAAGAAAACCTCACTTTTGTGCTGTCTGTCCTCTTGGTCTTAGTTTTTAATGTAACCCTTAATTTTAATTGTTTTTATATTTAGCTGTTTATTGTTTGTAAACCGCACAGTGGCTTACACACCTTATCGGTGAGATGGGTGGCATATAAATTTAATAAATACCTAATAAATAAAAAATAATTCTTTAAAAGTGTAATCTGCAAAGAATTTGTCAGTCACCCTTAAAAGGTAACGGTAAAAGTTCCCCTCACACATACGTGCTAATCGTTCCTGACTCTAGGGGGCAGTGCTCATCTCTGTTTCTAAGCCGAAGAGCCAGCAATGTCTGCTGATGATTCCGTGGTCATGTGGCCGGCATGACTAAACGCCGAAGGCGCACGGAATTACCTTCCCACCAAGGTGGTCCCTATTTTTCTCCTTGCATTTTTACATGCTTTCGAACTGCTAGGTTGGCAGAAGCTGGGACAAGTAACGGGAGCTCACCCTGTTACGCGGCACTAGGAATTCGAACCGCTGAATTGCCGACCTTTCAATCGACAAGCTCAATGTCTTAACCACTGAGCCACCGCATTCCCCAATCACTCTTACTTCATGTCAAATGAGGCTTCATCTTAAAAAAGAGGGTTCATTTGATTTCAGTCCAATTATAATTATAACATAACTGTGATCTGTAAACAGTTTGGTGATACAGTATATGTAAAACTATTATGGCACTGTATTGTGTGCAAATCATGTCACTAATTCATTCCAGAAATTATGAGCGATACTGAAAGTTTGAGTCAGGCTCCTGTATTAACCCAGGATTACTTCCAAACTTTCATGTCTGAGCCAGGCTTCCGAACTATGATATTTTTGATCCAAATTCAATAGTCTATCAATGTTAACACTTTACAGGTATAAAGAAAGAAAAGAAAGTTGATAGCAGACAAAAGATCCTAAAAGGGGTTGCCTGCAAACAAACCCATATTATGGACTTCAAGAATAGAGCTATTGTATTTCTTCCATGACAATTCTAATCAGAACTGTTTTGTTAGAAATCATAGTTGTACTCCCCATAAGGTCAATTTTATGTCCAATTCAAAGACAATGCACTACATTGCATTTTCATCTTTGCAATTCTGTCTATTTTGCACAAATGCCCTTCAAATAAAATTTGGGGACATGTCATTCACTGTCAACATTATTTCTAGGTCTCAGTTTTCAGAGGTGAAGTCAATTGGACAGTTGTGTAGAATTCATAAAAAACAACCAGTCCAAGTAAGGGAAAGGGGAAGATTCAGAATGGAGGGATCAATAAAAGTATATTCCCATCTCCTCATCTGTTATCTTGTCAGGGGCTGCAGACTTCCCATATGCAATATAGAGAGAAGTATCATCTTCCACGACATACGACCATAATTGAGACCAAAATTTATTATTAAGTGTGACATTTGTTAAATGAGTTTTGCCCCATTTTACAAACCTTTCTTGTCACAATTGTTAAATGATTTACTGCAGTTGATAAGTTAGTAACCCCGCTGTTAAGTAAATCTGCCTTTCCCGTTGACTTAGCTGGTCAAAAGGTTGCAAAAGGTGATCACATGTCTTTGGGACACAGGAATGGTCATAAATATGAACCAGTTGCCAAGCATCTGAATTTTGATCATGTGATCATAGGGATGCTATGAAGGTCGTAACTGTGAAAAATGGTTGTGTCACTTTTTTCAGTGACACTGTAAGTTTGAATGGTCACTAAATGAACTGTTGTAAGTTGAGGACTACCTGCATACGCTAACAGTCAGAACAAAGACTCCCAAGACATTTTGGGCAGCCAACTCTCCCTTTCTTGCTCTTGCTCTTGCTGGGAGCCAGAGAAGTGCATAGCAGTGATTTTTGTCCCAATTTATATAATCATTTGTATTTGCATTTAGAGTTTTTCTTTGAGAACTCTGAGCCGCTTAACTGGGAGGGTCTCTCCTCATTTTTGTCCCGTAGCAACAATCCTGTGAAGTAGACTTGGGTGAAGAAAAGAGACCAACAGAAGTCACTTAGCGATACTGTGGTTAAAGGAGACTTTAATCGGGAATGTCTTGATTCCAGTCTAACACCATAATCACTTGCTACACAACAGATGAATTATAACCTGGTAGGTTTTTACCATTGGATGGTACTTTGGATGTCAGCACCAAAGTGGGTTTTGCCCACTTTGGATGCTGCCATAAATTGATGGAATGAAATTTGAGCAATATGATCAGGGCTCAGGAGGGAAGTGGTGATGGGGGAGAGACTCCAGGAAGGGTTGCATGCAGTCTGCAAGATACAAATTGCTCATCCCATTTTTCCCGAGGATATTAGTTCCTCTGCAAACTATTTATTTATGAATGTTTGACTGCAGATTGTAGTTTTGATATGCTCATTTCCTAAGAAATTTTGCAAATATTTTCAAATATTTTTGCTTCCACCCTTGAAGTCAGACTGATGTTTTGCATATTCATTTGTGCTCCTTTTTAAAAAAAAATATGAAATGTGGGAAATTCATGGTTTAGCCTGTGTCCAATAGAGGTTCTTCCAATAACAGTGATAGGGAAGAGATTTTAGCATGCTTTCCTGAATTTTTGAACTAATTGGATTGACAAGTTTAGTAGCATCAGTCGAGTTTCCTTAGCGAAGGAAATATTAAATACAAGTTTAAAGACTGATTTTTTTTTCCTTTTGGAATAAGCAGCAAAAAGATGATTAGAATCTTGATTTTGGAAAGTTACAAGGGTGCAGATAGATTTTAATTAATATTTTGGAATTAATTATTCATAGAAGGAAAATAAGCATACTATAATATTTTTTTACTCCTTCCAATTATTCTGAGACTGAGATTTGGACCTATAAGTCTATAAGACTACATTTTCCTTATAAGGAAAACCTTTACAAAATATTTATAAGGAGAACCTTTACAAAATGTTTTATCAATGGCATCTGCCACCAGCGAGATTGGCCAAGATGTTCTTCAACAGGTCCCCGGAATGCTGGAGGTGTGGACATAAACAAGGAATGTTCTACCACATGTGGTGGACCTGCCTAAGATCAGAAAATACTGGTATAAGATAAAAAAGTGGTTGGAAGGGATAACTGAACAAAGGATAGAGATGAAGCTGGAACTTCCGGGTGAGGTTCAAGGTGCTGGTGATTACCTATAAAGCCCTACATGGCTTAGGCCCGGGGTATTTGGTGGATCACCTGCGGCCAGCAACAGCTCCCCATCGCCCCGTGCGCTCACATAGAGAGGGCCTACTTGGGGTTCCGTCAGCCAAACAATGTCGGCTGATGGCCCCTAGGGAGCAAGCTTTCTCTGTGGGCGCACCTACCCTCTGGAACCAGCTCCCCTTGGAGCTCCGGGTAGCCCCCAATCTTCGCTCCTTCTGCCGTGACCTTAAAACATGGCTGTTTCGCCAAACTGGCCTGGACTGTATGGGGTTTTTAATGGGAATTTTAATTTTAATTTTAGTTTTATAGTTGAATTTTAATTGTACTTGTTGTTGTTTATCGCTGTGAGCCGCCCTGAGTCCTTGTGGAGAGAGGGCGGCATATAAGTCCGATAATAAATAAATAAAATAAATAAAATAAACTTTTCCTTTTGGGCATTTTTGAAGGGAACATGGAGAAAAAATTACAATATATAACATTACATATATTAACTGCAAGTAGAATTGTCCTAGCACAGAATTGGAAACAATCAGATATTCCTCCAGACCAAATTATAATAAAAAAAATTTATGACTTTGCAGAAATGGATAGACTGTCTATGGAAATGAAGGAAAGGGAAGAAACCGAGTACTATCAAATTTGGAACAGATGGTATTCCTGGCTTGAGAATAAACGCAAAACCTAAGGGATAATATGTAGAAGGTAAAATTGTTGAAAAAATAATTCAAATAAGGATGTAATTTAAGATACAGATATATAGAATTAGAATTCTTGTAAATATGTTTGTTATGATAGAGATACCGATATGGAAAAGCTGTCATTAGTGTTAAATTTTTGCTATGTCTTTTTCTTTGTTTTTTGTGTTGTTGTGTTTTTTGTATTGTGTGTTTTATATGTTGGAAATTCAATAAATATTTTTTTTTTTTAAAAATACACTTTCCTTTTTTTATTTCAGTGTTTATTACAATCCATTTTCAACTTGTGGATCTTGATCTTAGCAGTACTATTGCAGCATCTGATTCCTCTTCAAACCACATGAGGTAGGGGATGGAATTGAAGTTATACTGACTTATATTGATTTAAGACTATTTATTTAACAACATCTCGATGTTACGATGGCTTCAGAAAAAGTGATTTATGACCCATCCTCAAAGCTATGATTGTTGCACCATACCCCCGATCAAGTGATTGCAATTTGAGCACTTGACAATTGGCTTGCATTTACAGGTAGTCCTCGACTTACAACAGTTCATTTAGTGACCCTTCCAAAACAGCACTGAAAAAAGTGACTTATGACCATTTTTCACACTTATGACCGTTGCAATATCCCCACGGTCATGTGATTTACATTCCAATGCTTGACAACTGGTTCATATTTATGACGGCTGTAGTGTCCCAGGGTCACGTGATCATCTTTTGTGACTTTCTGATGAACAAAGTCAATGGGAAGTCAGATTCACTTAACAATGGTGTTACTAATTTAACACCTGCAGTGATCCACTTAACAAGTGTCACCAAAAAAATTTGCTAATTTTTAATGGAACTTTTAACAAAGTATATTTAATTTGGTTGCCTTTCATGCTGTCTGTTGAGGTTTGTGGAAAATATAGGGCCTATGGATGTTGCATTTTACATATCTAATTTATGGCTCGGTGCAACTTGTGAACCCAACTATGCCATTTATTTAGCAAATTAAGATTAAGCAAAGGTAGTATATGACCCTAATCACTGAATAGTTTTGTGTCTGTTCTCTCAGCCTAAACTACTCATTTTTATTACAATACAAGGATAAAACGATGTAACTATTTATGCTGAAGTCTCGAAGAAATGTTAAAATTAAAATACAATTATATAACTACTATTACTACTACTTAAACATTTGTGTTGGAAGCTTATACCAAGATGCTTCCAGGTTGAAAGGATTAGCCGCAGTGGTGGTATTCAGCTGGTTATATTTGGTTTGGGCAAACTGGTAGCGGCGGCTGTGGGAGGCTCCGCCCACCTGCCCAGATGTCATCACGTCTTGCTTTTGACGCTCTGCGCATGCAGGCAGAGCGCGCACACACACTCACATTTGCGAACCGGTAGCGAAGGTAAGTGAATACCACCTGATTAGCCGGTGACATCACTGATGCCCAGGGGACGCCCGAAGGGCCCCTATCGTGTCTCTGTTATTTTCCCTCTGAAGTGGTACCTATTTATCTACTTGCATTTACATGCTTTCAAACTGTTAGGGAAAATTGATGGGAGCTATTCCATCATGCAGCTTGCTCTCGGGTTTCAAACTGCTGAAGTTTTGATCTCTCAATGGTCTTTTGACTCAGCGTCCTAACCACACGAGCCACCCTAAGCCATTATATAACTTAGGTCTTCGTTATAGTTTGCCAGTTAGGAATGCCAATTATACTTAACTGTCCTTATATCTCTAATTACCAGATTAATTGAGCAAAAAGCTTAGATGACAACTGATCCTGAAATAACATGATAAAGAATGAGTTTCTTTTTTTGTATCTTTTCTACATTAATTGTCCAATTCGAACTTATCAATTTTGGGGCATTAGTATTTGTTTCAAAATCACCATGTACATAACTATAGTAATATATTGCTGCATTTTTCTTTTAAATTCGTAAATGCCTTTCTCTGTGCCTCTCCCCTAAGATCCTTCAGAATGGATTTGTTTTTTATTATGGCATTCTGAGCTGTTAATGGCTAATAAATACAAAGTCCATGCCTTGAGGTGGGGCAAAGTTCAAAGACATTTGCTGCTATGCTTCCTTGTTTCTTCTGGCTAGGTTCACTTTTTAGAATAACATTGAAGGGCCTAGCTCAACTTGGTCATTACAAATTGCGATTTTTCCTTTCCAGAAATGTTTTTCTGATGTTTTTGTACCATGAGAAATACCTGTATCTCCCTTGGCTTTCCTATAACTTCTAAAGCAATTCTCTCTATATCTGGTAAAAATGAGAAAAAAGCATATACAGAAAAAGAATTTCCTATGAACTAATTACTTCCTTTTTCGATACCTGCATTTTTCTTGGTTTTAGTACTGTTAATATTGTATGACGACCAGGGTGTTATGGAGTCAGGCAGCCTTCTAAAAGAATTAAACAATTAAATGAATGTATGTGGGCATGCTTGAACTGTCTTTTATCAACTTCCTCAATAAGGTCTATGTGACTTTGTGACTCTTGCTCTTGGCACTTCTATATACAAGAGACTTACTATAGCCTGCAAACTTTGGATCAATCAAACTATCATTTGGATCCTTTACAGTTGTTTACAGCTGTAGTTATTTTTGCCATGTCAGATATATGCTCTGCCCAGAATCTAGAAATTCAATGGAGACTTTAAGCCAAACAGCCTTTCCTAGACCTGTCAGCTAAGAATTTATCCAGCCTCCTTTTCAAATCTTTTCAATCAAGGTGGTAGTAGCTATCATCATATCTTAGGGTAAAAAAAAATCTATACATTAATTTGCTATGTGAAACCTTGCTTCCTCTTGTCTATTCTGACAAGTGGGAAGAAGGGAACTCCCATGCTGCGCTGGAGAAACAAAACGGATCCTGAAGTTCTGAGCTTTGTTTTTTCAGCCTGATTTCCGCACATACTCTGGTGCACGGAGAAGAGGGAAAATCCTTCAGCAGGTGGCAGCAGCTTGTAACCTTCCTGCCAGCTTCCCCACTGAGTTTCTGGGGAAGCCAGCAGAAAAGATTGCCAATGATGATCGCAGGGCACTTAGCAACCAATCATAAATGTGAATAGGTGATCAAGCACCCAGATCATATTCACATAACTGCAGGGATGGTGATGGGCATGCCACTGGAAATGCTTTACTGTAAAGCACCCTTTCTGCGCTGCTGTAGCTTCAAAAGATTCTTAAAAGACCGTAAGTCAAGGACTGCCAGATATTATCACTGAGAAATATAGAATCATATAGCATGCCTCAATAAATTCTCATACTTACAATCCGGAGTGGAGGCTTGTAAGGGGTTAAACTGGTTTCAGCAATATTATGATGTCCCCAACTCTTTTGTTAATAGACACTGCAATGTTGGATGATGCACCAAATCGTTGTAAAAGCTTGAAACATGATGCTGTTTTTGTCATTTTGACAGCAGCAGCCATTTCTGTGGGTGCCTTGTGACAGGAACTAAGCCAACCCTATCCTATAACTGCACATTTTATCAGTACAGAGAATGTTGTGGGCAGAGGAATATTTAACAGATGGTCTTCAATCTTTCCTCCAAAGCAATCCAGAGTGTGGGCTGAGGACTCTGCCAACTGCTTTTTCAGAACACGTACATTACTCAACTCCACATTCTGTCTCTGTACAGCTTTTTGTAGTTGTAGGGCAACATTCAAGGTTGACTTTCTTCATGTACCTACAAATCTGCCAAAAGGATAGCAGCCTTGAGAAGCTCATAAAGAACACAATGGGAATATAGTACACAGGGGAAAGCGACAATAACCTGTGGTATAATCTAGATTTGAATTATAGCAAGAAAATTTTGTCATTTTATTTTCAATTGCTTACCAGGCCATTTTCAGCCTTTTTATTATACATAGCATCAGTTTTGGAATCCAGTTCTGCTTGGATCTGGTCCCTTCTTTTCAGAACACCCTGAAATATGAAATAACAGAAATAAATGCATTAGAAATTTTGCACAAGTAATCCTGAGAACTCTTGGCTTGTGTTCGAGTCAAAATTGGGGAGAAAGATATTTTTGATCCACAACTCTCTTATATGTAAGACTAAGTTTCTGGGTTTTCCTGGATGTCATTTTTCTGTCTGCTTGACAGGAAAGGCTAAAAGCTTTATTGTTGCATTGGTACAAGTGGGTCCATAAAGAGCTGTGCTTTTTTTTTTTTTTGCTCCTCAAGGAAAAATGACATTTATTAAATGAGTGCTATTGCCTGCTCCCCACTATGAGAATCTACTGCTGAATGCAAGTCTTGCAGCTGTCAACAGAATAGAATGGAAAAGAAATGAAACCGAGGAGCTGTGTTAATGGAAGGATGAGCTACCCCCTGCCTGCACCAAATGCAGCCTAATTGTGCGGCTGAGGAGCTTAAGGGTCTAACAAATGCAATAACATCCTTTAATTTCTCATCTCACCTTCCCTGCAATTAATCAGACAACCTGGCACAAGATAGGGGTCCCATCAAATTGAATTCTAATGGGCCACACAGATATTTCGTTGGACCTTGTTCAACTCATCCTGAGATGGTTTTCACTGAGTCTCCTCCATAAGGTGGCCCTTTTTGTGAAGTCCTTTTGAAAGTACTGACATTCTGCTGTTCCCCGTGGTTTGCCCACCTGTCCTCCATCCTGTAGTAGAAGCCATACAGAATATGATCCTAATTCAACCTCTGTAATTTGCATGGCTCTTCCTGTCTGACTCTCCTTATCTCAGTAGGCTTCTGCAGTCTTGATTAGGAGAACTATTTGGGTGAAGGAATTTTATTGCGTTATCTAAATGTCAACTGAAAATGTCTCCTAAGGACGCAATTTCCATTTGCTGAACTAAGTCACCATGCACATGACAAATGAACCAGGGCAATAGTAATACTGTCAATATATATTAAACAATTTTTTCAAGCGCATCACACAGGGCCTGAGTATTGTATCTCCAATAGTTGCTGTGTATCCTGTATGATCAGGCAGAGTAGGTATACTCCAGATCCTTCAATTGAACGGTGTCATTTACTTTGTCATGTTGCCTCCCCTATGGGAGAACATCCCAACAGCTATCCATATGGCTGTTCCCCCACAATGATACTAAGAAAGTTGCTGAAACCCTGCCTATTTTCCCAGGCCCAGGAATAGGAGGGATAGTGAGCCATTGTAGACTTTAAAAAAAAACTGTTACGGATTCTTTTCATCTGTATTTTTTTGACTTATTTCTCATGGAACTGAGGAGCTATGAAAAGCTGCATTCCTTGTAGAGACCCATACAAAAGTAGATTTATAACCAGTGGTGGGATTCAGCTGGTTCACACCGGTTCAGGTGAACCGATTGTTAAATTACATCCCCCACCCACCCACCCGCTATCAAAGTGGATCCTGGATGCTGTGCTGCAATGGAAAAACTGGCAATGGAGCGGCCAGCGTGAGGGAAGGAGAAAGCCAATTTCCCTCTTTTTTATCCCTGCTCTTCCTCCTTCCCTCATGCCGGCCGCTCCGTTTCCCATTTCTCCATTGCAGCGCAGCGCCCAGGATCCACTTTGATATTGGGGGGGGGAGGGTAATTTAACAACCGGTTTACCCAGGATCAGGTTGGCCATCGCAGGAAGTTCGTCCTACATGTGTGGCGGAGCTGGAGGATGGGGATGGGCCACACCTCCCACAACAGCCAACCTCACCCTCAGCGAACCGGTTGTTAAATTATTTGAATCCCACCACTGTTTATAACATACTTTGAAACTACAAATGTCTATAGATATTCTTTCTGTGAGTTAAAAAATTACCTCAATTCAAATGGAATCCCTCTTTTCCAAACAAAGTTACCCAGCCATCTCATGCAGAAGGGAGTTTAAATGTGAAGACTTATATACTCTGGAAACCTTCAACATTCTATTGTGAGAACCATCATTGATACTCACAAAACAACCATTGATACACCTCCCCCAAACTAACTAGCTTTATAATCATGGCTCTTTGTTGCCTTCTTGCTATTTTCTCCCTAGGGACCCCTCGATCATGTATAGTTAAGAGAAGAAAGAGGTGTATTTTGCAGGAAAGCACATAGGCATCATGCAGGAAAAGAAAATACAATATAATCCTTTCCTGCAGGGCTGCACTATTAGCACTGACAAAGAAAGCACACCGGCAACTCATGAGAACATCCATTGCAGCAATGACATCAGAGGAAACTTAGCAGTTTAACAGCTTTCCAACCCATCTTACCATCAATATTTCATTATAAAGCAAATATTCATGTATAACAGGGAAGAAGCTTTCGGACAGAGCTGCCATCCATTTGTCTGCAGCTTTGCAACACTGGTCAATGCCTGTAGCCATTCCTTTTAATGTGTCTTCCAGATCTTCTTCCGAACCAGACCAGAGCATGTGAATTGGACCAAATTCCTTCATTTCATAAAAATAGTCTTGGAAAAAGGAGGGGGGGGGGAGAAAAGACACGCAGGACTTCATAAACAATCTCCCAAGCAATTATCATAAAGAAACAGAGCTTTAAACAGAAACTTTTTCTGAAAAGTCCCCGACTTACAACAGTCCTTTCAATGACCGTTCAAAGTTACGACGGCACTGAAAAAAAGTCACTTACAACCATTTTTCACAGTCACCACCTTTGTAGCATCCCCATGATCATGTGATCAAAATTCAGATGCTTGGCAACTGGTTCATATGTAGGACCATTGTAGTATCTCAAGGTCATGTGATCAACTTTTAACAACCTTTTGACAAACAAAGTTAATGGGGAAGCCAGATTCACTTAACAACTGGCTTACTAATTTATCAACTGAATTAATTCACTTAACCACTGTGGCAAGAAAGGTTGTTGAATGGGGCAAAACTCACTTAACAAATGTCTCACTTAACAACAGAAACTTTGGGCTAAATTATGGTCGTACGTCGAGGACTACCTGTACTACAATCTGAAATTCTGGCATATAGCAGTAGCAATAGCACTTTTGACTTATATACTGCTTCACAGTGCTTTTACAGCCCTCTCTAAGCAGTTTACAGAGTCAGCATATCGCCCCCAACAATCTGGGTCCTCATTTTACTGACCCCGGAAGGATGGAAGGCTGAGTCAACCTTGAGCAGGTGAGAATCGAACTGCCGGCAGCTGGCAGCCGGCAGTCAGCAGAAGTAACCTGCAGTACTGCATTCTAACCACAGCGCCACCACGGCTCTTCACATAGAATCAAAGAATTCAATAGTAGAGACAGGTGATCCCCAGTTAACAACTGTCCTGTTTAGCAAAATGTTTGAAGTTACATTGGTGATGACAAAGTAACTTTACGACATGTCTTCAAACTTACAACTATCATAGTGATCAGGGGAAAGAGACTGTGATTCAGACACTTCACTATTGGTATGCATTTATTAATGTCACAGCAGCCTGCAGTTACGTGACAACCATTTGTGGACTCACAGGCAGTTAATAGAGAAGTTGGTAGAAAAATCACAAATTATGATCACACGATGTCTCACTTAATGACCTGGATGATTTGCTTAATGACTGTAGTTGAACAGTTTTGTAAGTCTGGTACAGTCACAGGATGTTTCACTTAACAACTGCACTGCTTAGCAACAGAGTTTCAGTCCCCAATTTTGGTCATTCAATCAAGATTACCTGCATCTTTCTCCCTTCCTTCATCTTTGTCTACTTTAACTAATTTAATGTTACTATTGATTGTTTTAACGTTTTTATTGGATTTTAATGATTCTAAGCTTCCTAGAATTGCCACCAGGCAGTGTAAGTTGAATTAATTAATTAAGAAATTTGGGCCCATCTTACCAAATATCAATTTGCAAAAGATTTCTATTTAAGGATATTCAAACATATGGATGCAAGTTTAAGCCAGGTTTAAATTAAAAAAAAAAAACTTTTGCTTTTGCATTCAAAATATATTATGAATTATGGAAATGCTAGTAGCTCAGTATGTGAATTGCTACATAAAATCCATGTAAGAATTATTAAAATATTGCGCCTGAAGCACTTTTAAAAAATCTGAAAAACAATATATAAATGATAAAAATTATTTAAAGGAGCTATATTAAGGGTATGCAGACAGAACATTTAACATCATTCATGTACCCAGAATAAAAGCTTGCTCACAAAAAACGTATGGACTGATAAATCTGTTAATTTGTCCTTAAAATCCTAAAGAAGTCTTGGATTGGCTTTTTGTATTTCATATTGGCTTCCATAGCAACCTCCTGGCACTATTTTCCCTCCCCTTTTCCAGGATTGACAAGGCTGATTGCCAAGTCCTACACTGTGGGTGTGCCTCTGTGCCACAGATTTCTCCACATCTCGGAATTCAGAAAACAACTTTTTTCTTGTAAAACCATTGGCACCATTATTGCTCTGAGCCTGGTAAAATGCTTTTTCCGGGGGGGGGGGGGATCGTTTTAATGATACAGTAGTCCTGAACCATCTGTTAATTTTTTAACAACAACAAAAAAAGCTTTTTTTAAAAAAAGAGCACAGACCATGAACAAAATGCAAGGCCACCTCTGGAAAAACTTCTCATACATTGCTGCCAATGTTTTCCTTCTTAAAGTTTACTTTACTTATTCTTTAGTTATATATATTGGCTTTTATTCACAAGTTGAAGGCAATGTATATAATTGCTACATGCATGTGGATATAACTACAAGGGAACACCCCTCTTCCTGGAAATTAAGGATTGAAAATACTATCCATTTGGCATCATTAGAAACTGGTTTTTTTCCCCCTAAGCTTAATTACCATGTAAGGAATTGGGCTTATATTTAGGTGATCTCAGTATTAACGGAACGGAAAATTAAGCATTTTCTGCTTCATTTCTGTGCCTGAAAATTCACCACTCCCTTGTTCACTCACATACAGTATATACAGCATTTTCTTTAGGAAAGTTCTTTTTACTGGCACCAGCCTAAATTTTTAAATCCGCAACCTGTAATCTAAAAAGCAATGTGGTAGGTGGGTGGATTTTTCTGGGAACTACAGCACATAAGGAGAGGAAAACTAATTCTTCTTTCCCAAACTGCCATCTCCTTAAATGTAGTTCTTTTAGGGAGAAAAATTATATTGATGGATTTTAACAAAATTCAGCGGCTTGGGAAACACATTGGAAACCAAGGCCAAATTGACCCATGCAGTTGGCCATGTGTCTTTCTGAAAACATCACCCACGTTCTTAATTGCTCTCTCCACAGAAGCCGACAATCCCCTTCCTTCCTTCCTTCCTTCCTTCCTTCCTTCCTTCCTTCCTTCCTAAAGCTCTGAGTGATTGGCCAAGTAGCCAGGCATTAGATGAATTGATGTGAGAGACCTATCTGCCAGGGACAGCAAATAGCTGCTATGATGGTTAAGTGGCACCTTTGGTGGCAGGGTGGAAATTATCTAAATGACACCAACCAGTTTCTGCCCAGTTCCATACAGTGTTCTTTCAGACAGTTCCTTTCAAAGAAGAAGGAAAAGGGTGATCCTAATTCCCATCCTTACACACTCTTTTCCACATCACTTCGTGCAAGATGTGGAAAAGAAGGAAAATTTGACCTTGGGTTTTACCAATTAGACTGATAGATCTTTATAGAAATGGCTTCATATTATTATGAAAAAGCAAAAAAATGTGATTTGATGTAAATGCCTTATTTTACTGTAACAGAGAAAATCGGAAGTCAATGCTTCTTTTTCTTATCTTTCCTCACTTCTCCTTTCCTTCCCCCCCTGCTTTTCTATTTACTTTGCATTTTGTATTTTATAATACTTTATAATTCAATAAAAAAATGGGGACTAACTCCATCCTTACACAGAAGTCAGGACTTACAGGAGCAGCTGTTAATTTCTTCCATTTTTAACATGTCAGTGTCGAGGCTGTTAAAACCAATGATTCTGCTGGAATTATTTCACAGAGAAAAAGTTTTCCCTGTGATTTTCCATTTGTCAGGTGCACAGAAAAGGGGGGGAAAAAGCTATAGGCCTATAACTTGTCTTGCTATGAAGCTCTATAGGGGGAAACATGGTCAATCTGTACCCCAGGATCAGTTTTGCCTCCCCCCCCTCCTCCACCAACCTTTTCTTTCTTTGTAAACTCGGTGGGAGATTTTGTTCAATAGATTGATTTTCTGGTTAAACACGTCCACATAGTCACTCATTTCTGTAAATATTTCCGGGCGGTTTTTCACAGCACTGCCTCGCATTGATGAAGCCATTGCCTTGACTGTTTGTCCCATTCTGCTAAGTAAGCCAGGACCCTGCTTCCGGTGAGATGAAAGTTCCTAAAAATTAAAGGAGGAAATCCAATTTCAAGATGGATAAATGGCTCTTATTGTACAATCAATTTAATGTAACGAAAGCCACAGCAGAACCCCTAGCACAATCTCAAACAATATGGGTCACAGATACCAGCCTATATGCTTCACAAACTTATTTGTCACTTTAAATGTACACTAATCGGCATACATTAAAATGTAATTTTGTTGCATACAGCTCTCAAAGGGTCACCACTCCAATGTACAGTACATAAACATGACAAAAATATAAATAAATAATTATGCATATATCCACATCAGAGGTGGGTTTAAGCAGGTTCTGACCAGTTCTGGAGAACTGGTAGCGGAAATTTTGAGTAGTTCAGAGAACCGGTAAATACCACCTCTGACTGGCCCCACTCCCATCTATTCTCTGCCTCCTGAGTCCCAGCTGATCGGGAGGAAATGGGGATTTTGCAATATTCTTCCCCCAGGGGTGGGGAGGAAATGGGGATTTTGCAGTAACCTTCCCCTGGAGTGGGGAGGGAATGGAGATTTTACAGTATCCTTCCCCTGCCATGCCCACCAAGCCATGCCTACCCAAGCCATGCCACACCCACCAAGCCACACCTACAGAACTGGTAGTAAAAAATTTTTAAACCCACCACTGACCCACATATATTATATGGCACAGAGAAACAACACAGTCTACAGTCAACACACCTGACCCCCTCTGAAGATTTCTTTGGATGCCACCATTTCATCAACGATTGTAAAAGTAAATTATGGTTTTATTTTAGATTAGGTGAACAGCAGTTAAAAACATAAAATCACAATCATATCACAATATTCATCCAATCTGTTTTTCCCCAAATATTAATTTTACTTTATCTATGTTCTAAACATCTATCCATAGCAATACTTAAAATTATATGAAAAGGTGACTGCATAAACGCAGCTCATGATTATAATGCCAAAACCTCTCTTTGTGTTACATGTAAAAAAAACAGGCAGTATTTTTCATTTTGACTGTACTAAGCTTCTGGCCAGCCTGCTGTGAGAATCTCTCTGGTAGGCCAGGAGGGGAAAATAGCAATAAGGGAGGAGAGAGGGTAGTGGTGAAGGTGCTGGCATAGAAACCAGGAAATGGTGAGTTCCAGTCTCCCTTCAGGTGACTTTGGATCAGTCAACTCAACTCATATCCCAGAATTGTTGTTGTGGGGAAAATAGGAGGAAGCAATATTGGTATGTTCACCCCCCTGGAGGTATACAGGTAGTCCTCATCCTACAACCACGATTGAGCCCAAAATTTATGTTGCTAAGTGTGAGATTTGTCCCATTTTATGACCTTTCATGGCACAGTTGTTAAGTGAATTTTTGCAGGTGTTAAGTTAGCAAACGGTTGTTAAATGAATCCGGCTTCCCCATTGACTTTGTTAGAAGGTCACAAAAGGTGATCACATGACCACAGGACACTGCAACCGTCATAAATATGAGTCAGTTGCCAAGTGTCTGAATTCTAATCACGTGACCATGGGGATGCTGCAAGGGTCGTAAGTATGAAGAATGGTTATAAGTCACTTTTTTCAGTGCTGTTGTCACTTTGAACAGTCACTAAATGAACTGTTGTAAATCGAGGATTACCTGTGTATGAAAGAAAAGGTAGGATAAAAGTCTAATTAAAACCCAAAAGAAGAAAGTGAGAAGGGAAAAACTGAAGGGAAGATCTTGCTCAGCAAGAAGAGGATTTTGGGCAGCTCTAAGTGGGATGGGTTTCTTAGATAGTATCATCCTAGGTATAAACTTGGAAAAAATTATATAGCAACTCAGTAATAAAATCAAATATGGGTGTTTTGGTTAATAACAAATAATGCTAGCTAAGAAGTCAGAGTGAAACAATTCTGTTTAGCATTATGTAATTTATTTATGTTTAATGGTTTCATTTTCTTCATGTTTGACTCAAAGACTTTTGTATCAACATATAAAAGATTTTGTTGTTGTTGTCTTTAGGCTAATGAATTCATTTGCATGAGGTATGTGTCTAGGACCACAGTAAAAAAACTTCTCTTAACCCAATTTGTATCCTATTTTGCTCAGACCTGGCAGATTCTATAGTATCAGAAAAATATCTGGAGGTTTCATTACCTCTGCTTGTGCAGTAAGAAAAATTTTGAAGTCCTCATTAAAAGTTAAAGTAGGATGATCAGCAATCCGGTTTAAAAACTTATGCAAAGCTTTCCTTCTTGTTTCAATGAATTCTTCATTAAATCGTTCCACAACTCCTTTCATTATGAATTTTTCAGGCAACGGCTAAAGAATGAAAGAAGTGGAAGAATGAAACTAATTAAGGTGCATTCATGCATATATACCTAAACTGCAACTCTAAAAATACAATTTCTATGCATACTATGCCTTAAAATGGAATGACTCGTGACTCTTTCTTTATCGGCACCAAAGTAACAGAGAAGGTGGGTAGAGAGAAATCTTTGTTAACATATCGACATTTTCACTTTAGCAACTTCATCTTATTTGGGGGCAAGATACAAAACATGACTGGAATAAAATGGCATGATTCCATCATTCACTTTACAAAAGGTAGGTTGTCTCATTATAATGAATGCAATAGGGAAACAGCCCAAAAACTCTGTTTTCTGGTAGCCTGCCATTGCCAATTTTAGTGCTCTATCTCCTTGCTGGATCTCAGCTTTCTATGGAAGTCAATAAAAAGTCTTACAGGAATAATAAGTGTTGGATGTGCTTCTTCAAGTCTTCCTTTCAACCAAATAAAGTCCTGATAGCGTCTTCTAACTTCATACTCACTGGAGTCAAATTCACCACGAGTTGTCTGAAAAGAAAACCATAAAGTAAAAAACAAAGCAAAACAGAATGAGAATGAGAAACTTGTGTTACATATATGGTGGCAATAATAGTATATGACTAGGGAAGGATCCAAACAAATTAAATCATATATAATATTGAGAATTCACAATGGATAGGATTCATCATTCAGGTCTTTTTTGTAGTCCAGGTCAAACCCCCTAAGACCATATGCTTTCTTTCATTCCTTTCACTGAATATTTGTGATCTAAAAACTGCCCATATAACTTTCTCACTACTTTAAGCTGATTCTTCCAAGCAATAACTCAGGTACTATACAACTGCAGTTCACAACTCTGGGCATCAACCAGGTCCTTTAACCATTCAAGCACGTTCTAGAATTTTACATAATATTCTAGCATAAAAATTTTTGCAGGTCACAATCTGGCACTCTCCATATATTTTGCACTACAACTCCCATCTTCCTCAGCACAGCCTTGGATGAGGATGATGAGACTTATGCACCCAATACATCTTGGAGGGCACCACTTGAAGAAGGCTGCTCTAAAATCTACTAAGCTTTTCAACAACTTTAGAAGAAATACCAGAGATCTCGAAATGATGCAAAATTTGAGGGCGTCTGTCTTGCTAGCAAGAGAATGAACTCTAGAAGATATAGTAAGGCTCACTTCCAAAGAGAAATCATCTATGAATTAGCTGTCCTTGTGCAGGAATGTGGGAAAGAAAATATGGTTACAAAAATATGGCTCCAAAATACTTAAGCACAAATTGTGGATAAATATAGAGTTGAAATGAAAAGACTGTATGTATAGGAACAATCCAGAATATGTATACAATGTGCAAACATATTGAAGCTTCTCTACAGTCCAGTATAAACCAAGATTTCCTATTGCAGTATATGTTAACTTTGATTTAAATTGATTCATAAATGCCTACCTGAATTCCAATTGCACTATTCCCTTCTGGGATAAGCAATCACACGCAAAGTGCAAAGAAGGAATAAGAAACAAAAAGTCAAAGAAATGTAGGCATGAAGAAAAGAAAAAGTTAAATCTAATTTACATCAATATCATTCACAATACATTTCCGTATCTTTCTATCCCTGCAAAATCACTATGTTTATATACTGAATCATCAGCCACTGACTTTTGTTCTCACCACTCCCTTTTCCAATACCATATCAAATCCATTGAACCATAAAACTTTCCAGATCTTCTTTCTTTCTACTCCACTCACTCTGTTATATACTTGTTCTGCAATTCAACCCTCTTTCATTTTCTCTATATGATTAAAGTGTACTTCTGTGATACGGGTCATTTATTTTTATATCAAATCCACATTCATTCATCAACTGAGCAAAGAGTCTTGCACTTTTCTTTCTTGTTTGACCACAAACACTTCTTGGGTACACTGTTCCTACTACATTCCACTTACTTTACTGTTTCTCCTGATATACCCAACTCTTATTTCCTGTAACAAATTGTACAGAAACAGATTTACAGCCATCTTGTTCTACAAATCCTCCTACCATAGAGCAGATTACATACCACCCACTACTTTTCTATCATCATTTACATATTTCAAAACTTCTTTGCCCATTTCCTCATTTTTGTAAATATTTGACCAAAATACACCAATTCACCTAATTGTTTTTTTTTTTAAAAAAAACTATATATAACTTGCCATCATTCTCTCTCAATGTTCCCCATCAAACGCAAATACTTTGGACTGTGATGCATTAATTTTCAGAACCGTATTGCATGGCATCGTATAATTTATCTCAACTGACAACATGACATCTGCTGCATACAAAAGGACAGGCACATTCACATCCCCAACTAATACATCTTTAAGATCTGACTTCTACAATTCCTTATGTATTTAACCATAAATACATTAAACAATCAAGGAGCCCACAACATTACCTTTCTCCCTGCTAAATGTTCAGTCATTTCATAAAGTTCCATTTATGTTTTATAACAATAGCGCTTAGCACTTAGTCTTATATACCGCCTCACAGAGCTATCTATCTATCACATTTTGAGATCACCTATTCAACACATCTCAGGGTAGTGTACAAACTAAAAACATAATGGATCAGTCTATTACCATAAAAAGGAAAAGATGGTCAAAGAGGGAAAATAATAGACAGATAACAGCAAAACCATCCTATCATGGTTCCAATGCCTGAGAAAATGTTCAGGTTTTTAAAGCCTGCATGACAGACAATAGTATGGGGGCTGAGTTTCTGAAAGGATGTTTCAGAAGGCAGGTACCAAAACAGAGTCCCATCAGATATCTACTGAGTCTTATAAGATGACACTGATTTACTACTCTTGTAATTAGAAACAACCTTCAACTTCAGATGAAACAAAACTTTTTGTTATTCAAATCTGTAAATCAACGAATGTGCAATAAATCTGCTTTCTCACATTCAAATATTTTTCTGATATTGATCTGCTGATTAACAAAACTATGCCCTCTAAATTCCTTACTTGGCATAAAGCCACACTGCACTTCTCTAGTTTTGCTCATTGCCACCTCTTATACCCTTTATAATATGTCAAATATATTCCCAAGCACACTTAACACATCAACATGACTATGATTTTTGGATTCATTCTCACTACCTTTCCTTTTATATAAGAGGAATATATTCCAAATGTCAGGCATGAATTCGGAAACTTCACAACAGTCTTCAAACACTTTTTAACCAAGTCATACAGACACTCCATAACCAAACATATTTTAATATTTCTCCAATTACATCATTCGGCCTAAACATTTTTCAACATTCTTACAGCACTCCTTTTCATTATTTTTTTCTCACGCTGTACCCTTTATAGGGTTTGTTTCAATTTCATTTTTTATACTAACATTCCCATATAAATCTCTAAAATACCCCTTCCAAGAATCCTTCAGTTCAAATTCATTCCAAACAGACACAATTCCTGGTTTAGCTTTCTTCACCCACTTCCAAAGCCAATTTTGTTTCCATCATAATTGTTTTACATTTTTCCCATCTCTTTTAATTCTAAGGGCTGTTTGCACTCTTTGACTATATTCTTCACATATTTTTTTCTGCTATACACATTACACAAACTATTTATCTCATCCTCGGTTTTTATAGCATTCATTCTCTTTATATGTATTATTTTTTTCTCCACCTCTTTCACTATCATTCCAAATATCATCCTACAATGCATTTCCTATTCCATCTATGGAAATTTCCAATATAAATCTTTTTACTTGGTACCAAACACCTTCCATATCCTCTTTATGTTTATTCTTCATGTAGCAAAATTAAGCTATTTCCTAATGCTTTTTCATATAGGACTCCCTGCAGTCATTCTATTTTCATATTCTCAAATGTCTTTTATTTTCTTCCCCTATTTCCCAAGATTAGTACTTAGGTAGTGCTAAGTAATGATTTGCCCCATATTCAAAATCTCTCATTACTCTTGTATCCTTCACTAATGCTCACAACTTTTCATCACAAACAATAAGATGAGTCACTTTTCTTTCTTCCATGCCTTTTCAGGTGTATAAATGGATGTGCTTATGATTAAAATAGGTGTCTGAAATTAACAGAAGATCTTTTTCTAAGGTCTCTCAATGGCCTAATCACTTTCTTCTGCATTCTCTCAGCATGTTCCTACTCATCCATTCACATCAGTTAACAGAATATTAGACTGCCATTAATTCTGAACGTTGCATAACCTTTCCCAAATGATATTGTTTAATTCTTCAATTATCAGCATTCATTGTAGCACAATAGGCAGCATTGCCAATGTATGGATTCTTGCTTTCATTCATACCCATCACAACCTAGATGGCATAACTTCCTACTTTTTGACATACAATTAAGGCCATTCATTCAATTAACCATTCACTCAATTAAACCTATTAAATTAAACCTATATCTTTGGATTCCAAAGGCACTGTGCACATACCCATTACAAGATTCAATCAACTTCATTCATATGTATTAACTCCTTTTCCTTTCCCTGAAATTCAGACAACTTTCTTTCTTTACTTTCACTTATTAATTCATGCTGTTTATCATTAACTCTTTTTGCATTCCAAGTCACTGTCTTCCATGAGGATGGTTGTAGGTTGCAGGTAGAATCACCACATTTTTATGTAACACATTTTTAATAAGATAAAGTGTAGGCTATATTACCAGCCGTAACCATGCCCATTGCATATTTAGCATATCTTGTTAATTATTAAGGGTAATACTTGTTAGTTTGGGCACATTTTTGCCAATATGCCACACAGACTTGATCTTAATCTAAGATTGAAGAGTTGGGATTTAACTGCTTCAAAATGAAGATGCTCCTTTTCTCTAAGAAAATTCTTAGAGATTATAAAAAGGAGATGAATGTTTTCCAAATTGAGTAGATAAAAGATATCCAAATATGTCCATAAATTACCTTCAAATTTAGATACTCTTTTATCTATTTTTTCATAAATACTTTCACATTTATATACATTCTTCGAGTCCTCTATTTCCTGAATGCAGCAAATGTGTGAGGCCACAGCACATGCAATTATTAGATTTCCTACAATGCAAATATTTAGAATCTTGTTGCAATCAATCTATACAATGCAAAAATACTCAATTTTTTGTTGTTTTGTGCTCTTACCTATATAGCACTTTGAACCTATTCAGTCAACATTTATTAGAATTATATTGTAAATCCTCTTCTCTATTCCAAATGCTCTCCCCTTTGGGTAGAATTAGGAAATTCTTCTATAGCAGCCTGAATGAGAAACGTCAACCTAAAATCCTAGTTAAGATAATCCTTTTAGATGAAAATCTGGCTCAGCTGAACTTTGATGGAAAAGTTAACACATGAGGAATTTTTTCTTTCAATTAAAACACAGTTTTGTGTCATGTTGATAATACACAGGATTCTTCTCAGTAAACACATTTCAATCTTGTGCCAAATATGCACAGAGGTATCAAAATAATTTAATGAACACAAGAGCCATCAATAAGGAGCGTTGGCTGATACTGGTAACAGAATATGTAGAATTCTCCTCAGTGAGATCCCTGTCTTCTAATATGGTTTCAATTCTTCATCAGAGAGGATCTTAGGACTGTAATTCCAATGTAATTCCCAAAAGATTCTGTTTTGGGTTTGTATTCCCTGTCAGATCTTACAAATCCTGTAAGTAACATAAGTAATTCATAGAGACTACAGATAAACAAACACAGTTGGGGGAAAAGATAAATACACTCAATGCAAAGCAAATGAGTTGTACTTGCTGCTCAGTTGCTTGTTTTCCTCTGATTTTTTAAAACTGTTTCAAAGCCAAAACTCATCAAGTTACTTTATCACCAATATAAACCAGGGTTATAATTTTTTTTTACTGAATAATTCAGCTTTTCTTCAGTGCTAAGTTTTAGAAATTCTTTCTATGGGTATATCTCTTTGCATTCCACCTCTATACTTGTTTACAAATTGTGATTACAAAATGTCTGGGATGTTTTCTTTGGATTGCTCGTGCTTATCACATTTCTTCTGCCAAGGCACTCAGTTCACTCATAGCACATGGTTTATCCCCAAAAGTCTCATCAATTGTCTTGAACAATGATGTCACTGGTCATGGCTGACATCTTGCACAGGAGAGTAAAATATGGGCCAGCAGGCATAGCTAAAAAGATGGACATTTAAGTTTAGCATTGCACATGAACATGGGTTAAGTAGCCACATCCCAGCTTCTGAAAAATTAATGTTTTCTTACATTTATAATAAAAAAAATCCATGAAAAGCAAAGAGCTTCACCTCTGAATACGGTCATCATATATATTTGAAGATCCAACTTTAAGTACCAAATAAGGAGTTTGGATGTACATATACAATCCTCCCTGGTCATATCATAAAGCAAGTCCCAGGAAAGGGGCCTTCTCTGCCATAGCACCTACTCTCTAAAACAGCATCCTTCTAGGCATCTGTAGCCTCCCCCCATACATTATTGGACTTTAGAATAGCATTAAAATATGGTTCTTATGGAACCCTTAGGTAGGGTGTTTGGGGAAGTCAATCATTCATTTCTATCAACATGGGGAGAAGACTGAATTGGCTGTTAAGTTACCCAGAGGAGTTGTAACTGACTGACCTGGAAATTTGAAAAATAAATAAAGGAACTTCCTCTGTATAATTATAAACAGAGTGATTATATTCTCTTGAGATCTAATAAGAGCACCTGCTGGCTGCATGATTTTTTTTTTCTTGAAAAGCTGTCCCATCTGCAATCAGGAATAAGTTTAATGAAGTCAGCTTAGACATACTTAAATAAATAAGTAAGTAAATAGTCCCATTTGAAATTTCATGCAGTTTCAAAAACAGTTTGCTACTACTGTCAGGGAAGTCCAAAACAGAATCTCTTTGGAAATCTGTTGCAATTATAATTTGGAAAGCTGCAATCCGGAAAACACCTGGTTTGAAAAGCTTGCACTGTCTCACTTTCTAGAACTAATGCAAATGACACAACTGCTCTTATTTACTTTTTAAAACTTACTGTCTTCTTCTGAACACTTTACTCTAACCATTTGCCATGAGCACCATGTAAATGAAATCCAGGCTCTTTCAGCAGGCCATGGAATAGGATGATATGTCACCCAGGTTATTTCTTTTTTTGTTGTTGTTGTTCATTACTATTTTATTTTTGTGGGTTCTCTAAAGAGAGCAGTTAAAAATTGATATTGTTATGGCTGATTTTTCTTCATTTTTTAGTCTAAAAATGCATTTAATGCACATTATAAGTTGCCTAATGTTGTCATGGCAATTGGGGCAGCTTATACATTTATTGATTGGTCAATTAATAATTAAATCATGGTTTGCTCTAACAAGATCCATAAGGCCTTAATTTTTTTAAAAGTGGTACTTTGCTATAAGAGGAAACAAACCTTGGTGACAATTCTGTAAGTGATGAATGTCTCAATGGCAGTAATATAGCTTTCTGGATCATCAACCGTTATGAAAAGATCTTTTCCTTCTGGTTCATCCTCAAATTTGTACTGATTTATCATCGAAGATGGAGATGTTGGCATCAAAGGACTGAACGAGTTCGCATCCATGAGTGACGCATCCTGTGAAAATAAACAAGGCAATGGGTGGGGGGGAGTCATCAGGGTTACCAAAAGATAATGCCATAAAAGCAACGTGGGATTGCTGCTATAATATACAATTGATGAATCACAGTTTGTAAGGCAAAATACACAAGCTCAGTCTGTTTTTTTTAATAAATGAGTCACAGAAGACTAGTTGCCATTTAATGAATGTCATGCTACTTTGTCCAGGAGTTTGAAGGAAAAATGATATATATTGAGTTCTGAAATTTCAGGTTAAATAATAGATTTACTTTATATAGCTTATTTGGTGAGAAAGAACAGTATCAATAGTGCTATGTGTACATACTTACAATTATGTCTCTTAGAGAAGTAATTATATTAAGCATTACTGCTCTAGAATTGACCAGCCTTTTTTACCCCTTCTCTATGTAACAATTCTTCCAGAGTTTTTGAAGGCAGTTTCCTAACATTTCACTTTGTTGGCAAAAGATGTCAACCAGCTGTTCTTTTCTTTTCTAGCCTGAAAACAGGCTGCTCGCTTTTCAAAATTCAACCAGAGAGAGGTGGGAAGACATAGCAATCAATCAATCAATCAATCAATCAATCAAACAGCTACAGTAGCCTTTCTGTCTTGAAAATACACTTGGAATTGGGGTCCAAAACTTTCCCTGACATCCAAAATTCACTCATGTTTTCTTCTTCTTTGCAGCAAGAATTCTGTTGTAGTATGGCATTGAATTTAGCCCTGCAGATCACTTTTTTCTTATATAATACTGATTGAATCATACAATGGCAACGTTGCATGTATCTTTTCCCTGGAGATTATAATACAAATTGTTAAACAACTCAAAAAACAATAATGGTGCCTCTGGAAATCACCGAATTGTTACAGAAGCCCTCACTTGTACTCAGTCTTGCAGAGCAGAAGTATATAATACATGAACAGTCTCCAATTTGGTGCTATCAAGACACATTTATTTATTTGATTTTTATTCTGCCTTCATTATTGTTTATAAGCAATTTAAGGCAGCAAACATACTCTTTCTTCTTCCTGTTTTCCCAACAACAACCCTGTGAGGGTTGGGCTGAGAAAGAATGACTGGCCCCAAGTGATCCAGTCGTTTTTTCATGCCTACAGCAGTATTAGAACTCATGGCCTCTTGGTTCCTAGATCAGCACTTTAATCACACTATAACAACCAGCATGAATGTTCTTCTCAGTTTTATTATGAATTAACTTCATTAAGAGCCTGGTGGCTCAGCAGACTGATAGCATTGTGATTAACACCAGCTGTCTGCAATTACTGTAAGTTCGAATCTCTCCAGGCTCAAGGTTGACTCAGCCTTCCATCCTTTCTAAGGTAGGTAAATTGAGGACCCAGTTTGTGGGGGCAATAAGCTGACTTTGTATAAATATACAAAAGGATGAAGGTTATTGCTTAATGCATTGTAAGCCGCCCTGAGTCTCCGGAGAAGGGCGGCATATAAATCAAATTTTTTTTTTTAAAAAAAAATTAATTGACTTAACTAATTTTAACCAGGCCACAATTTTTCATGAGCCCTACACTATAATAATAATGCTTAACCCAGAGGTGATTTTAAGCATGTGATATTTAAAGAAGTACTTGGAATTATCCTACCCAATTTTCAAAGATCATATATGCAGGCTTTTTGATCTTGAAGTGTGATGCATTAGCTCATTCCTCTTGCACCATTTTCTCATCAAAATGGTGCTTGCTCTACTTCAATATCCCGTTCTAAAATATGTAAAATATTATAGATTAACTTTCCTCATTCCAGAGGGAATTGATTTTCAAAGAATATTTGGTGCAAAGTGTAACTGAATGGGTACAATGATTATCAGCATCTGTCTATGGAACCTTATATTATGATAGCTCAATAACGGTAAAAATGTTATGTAAAATACTGCATTTCTTTAAAAACAACCCAACGGTTCAACAACAGATACTACTGTAGTACACTGTAATACACTGTACTACCAAAGAGCCTTGGTAGTACAGTGGTCTAAAGCACCCTGTTATTAAGAACAGCTGCCTGCAATTACTGCAGGTTCGAATCTCGCCAAGACTCAAGGTTGACTCAGCCTTCCATCCTTTCTAAGGTAGGTAAATTGAGGACCCAGTTTGTGGGGGCAATAAGCTGACTTTGTATAAATATACAAAAGAATGAAGGCTATTGCTTAGCGCATTATAAGCCGCCCTGAGTCTCCGGAGAAGGGCGGCATATAAATCAAATTAAAAAAAAAAAAAATCATATTTCAGCAGCAGATAGCTCTACTAAAAGATATTAGTTCAACCATTACAGGCAATCCTTGACGTACAACTATTCATTTAGCAACCATTCAAAGTTACAATGGCACTGAAAAAAGTGACTTATGATTAGTTCTCGTGCTTATTTGGGCACTTGGCAATTGTTTCATATTTATGATGGTTAGAACATCCCGGGGTCATGTGATTACTAGTTGCAACCTTTCCTAATCAACTTCAGACAAGCAAAATTAAAGGGGAAGCTGGATTTAGTTAATGACCACATGATTCATTTAACAGTGATTATCTTAAGAACTGTGGCAAAAAAGTCACTTAACCACAACCTTGCTTGGCAAATTTTGATCTTTATTATGGTCGTAAGTCAAGGATAAGATGTAGCTGGTCACAAGGAACTTTCTTGCTGTGGCAAAACTGTCCTGCCAAGGAACACTTCAAAGACAGTATATCCATTCAGACATAATTTTATCCTTTGGAGTAGTGGGTTCCCCCACCCCCTCTTCATGATCAGAATAATTGTTTCTGTATATTATTTTCCTGATTATGGAGATTGGAGACAAACTTTTTATTATGAAGACTGGAAATTTTCCTCTAACGAAACTATAGGGAAAGACAAAAAAGAAAAGATAAAGCCAGTCTACTAAAACCAGAGAGACTTTTAAGGAAAGGCATAAGAAACTTGAAGTGAAGTTGAAGGAGAGAGAGAAAAGAATAAAGGTAACGGTACAAAATCTGTGCAGATCTGTCAAGTTCAATTTTCTTCTTTCTCCATTTTTCTGACCTTATGTTAAGTTTTCTGACCCTTTCTCTTACAGCTTGTTCCTGATGAATGCCCTTCCTTCTGAAATCCTTTCTCTTTTATTATATTCGAGCACCTTCTTACTTCACATCTATTCACTTTAGCTTTTTCTCTCTCTCCCTATCGATTGGCTTTCGTTTGTACTTTCCTTTTTTCCCTGTGTCTTCCACAATGTGTCTTCCACTGCTGATAGTAATTCTGCAGACAAACCTAGTTTAATTTTCATTTTTTGAAGCTGTGGATATGTTGGAGAGAGATTGGCAGAGCCAAGGAGTGGAGTCAAGCAAGGAATTAGTCTGGAATCCCTACACGGGCATAAGAGGGCAAACTCCAATTCTCCTTTTACTGCTGTTGAACCTTAACTAGTCTCACCTGGGTGCAAACTGTCTGCCTGAGAATATTCCTGTGTTTCGGCTTGAGCAATAAACCATCTTACTGGACTCTTCACATGTGATCCTGGTTGTTCATGCCTGACAGAGTGATTTCAATAGTAATTTAAAACGTTTTCTCTCATTAGCCATTCGTCACCGTTAAACTCATACATCACTATCAAAAAATCTACTGCATAATGTGGAAAACAAAGTCATGGACAGGTTACCTCAAGGATTTTTTTTTTTGTAGCTAAGTAACCCATCTCTTCTCACTTCAGTCAGCTAGTACAAAAATTAGCTCTTTCTCTTCAGTGCCAATTCTGTCAGAACTTTTACATTACAGGTTGATGTGTCCCAGAACCAAAAACAAAACTGTAATGAATAACTAATCAATGTAACCTATTAACTATTTTTTGAGACTTTGCTTTGTTGACAATTTATGGGGAAGGTAGTAGAAAGGGTATTTAAAGCTAACATTCGAAGCACTCAAATTAGTAGTAGTGGTGCAGTGTATTTAGCATATTATGCAATTCACTGAGAGAAACGCAAGGAGCCTAGAGACCAGTAGGGGGTATAGTAAACTGTTTTACACAGTGTTTAGCTATAGGAGTTACACAAAAAGAATCAGAGAGACTCTTTCACCATAAAGAAAGCCACCATTTTGGAGGCCGTTTGCCACTGGAAAGAGGGCAGGAAATGTGTTATATGGGTCCCACTAGTTAAGGTTCAACGGCAGTCAAAGGTTACCTTTTGCACAGATACCAATTCACTTGGGATTAAAAATAGCACATCTTTGCGCTGAAAAGAGAATGCAGTGAGAAAAGAATTTATTTGCAACTTGTGCACGGAGTTCATGAAGATCAGGGTTACATGGATCCTCAAATAGTTGGTATGGAAAGAAAAGTAGGCACTCCTTATTAGTAACTGTTTTGCCAAGGCTGTTTAATTGAGTTTGGGCAGGGTGCTCCTTGGCTCCTGAAATACCAGTTCTCTTAGAGTTGGGGATCAAGACTACTTTAAAGACTGCAAAGTAATAAACCAATCCTCTCGTTCTGGTTGAAGCTGGCTGACTAGGAAAATCAAGATCAGTAAATCTTCATCAAACATCCAGGAAAACAGGGTTTCCAATGTCTAGGAAGGAAATGTACATTCCTATAAAATCTAGCAATCTTCTGAGAGCAGTACTGCAAACCCGACTCAGTGGATGATCCTTGTTTGAGGAGGATACTGGCTGGTTCAAGTCCTCTTCGTGGGGTGGACTATGCGTGGATTCAGATGACACAAAGATGTTTCTCTCTGAAATCAACCAAAAGCTGGCAAAAGAAAGGAAATATCAGAGCTGGCTGTTCCTTCTGCATTTCTTCTGAGTGACTTCAGATACGCGTAGAGATAAAAAGAGGGGGGGGAGCAACAGGGTCAAAAGTATTGCTAGATCAGATGATCCTACCTGAAAAAAAATAGGAGACCAAAGACATGGCCAATGTTAAGGAAAAGGAAACACAACAAAATAAAAAAGAGTTGGAGTGAGGGTTGGGCCAATGATTGGATTGGGTTACCATATTTT